AGAGAGAGAGATTTCTTCTTTCAGAATCATATCTGGTGGCTTAGTGTTTAAAATGGTTCTCTGAAAATACAGAGGTTGGAAGAAAAGGAAGGGTATGGTACCAACACTTACTTGATATATAGCAGCTGTATTCTGCTTCAGTTCTGTAGTCTATTCAGTGTTTTATCTCCAGTATATTTCCCTTAGCAACAAGCTATTGGCTAATCTGTCAGAGGTGATCTCCCTCATTCCCTTCTGGAGTTGAGCTGTTATGCAGCAAAAAATAAAATTTTGATGGTGCCAGGAAGAGGGTAAGAGAGTTGTAATGTAGTGGTTCTGATTATTACTGGGAATTGGGCAACCTTTTCTCTGTTTTGCTCTCAGGATTATTTCCTCCTCCTCCTTATTATTCAGAATTGCTCTGTAGCCATTGGTTTAATATAAAATGCATGAGCAGAAGGCAGACTGAAAATAGAATTGCGTACAGATATCCTGTCTCCTGAACGAGACCTACAACTATGATACTCCGTTTTAAAGAGAAGCTGGGATTTTGTCCATTGTTTTTATAACTGCATTTTGAAAATGCAAGCAACTGCAGGAACTATGAGGTGACTTCCACTTTGTGCCATTTGGGTTCTCAATTCCTTTTGGATTTAGCACCCCACATCCAGTAGATTTGGACAGGTGAATGATCCTGTTGTCCAAGGGGGGTTGAAGTAAAAAGGGAGGTGTTTTAAGTTAAGCAGCAACTTAATGGGGGACTTTTTGAATAACATTGTGGACTTTGGTGTTAACCTCTGCACCTAGAACATGACTAAAGTCCTTTTTGGATCTGGCCCACCAATCTATTAATTCTTTAAATGTTTTCAACTTTCATTGCATTTTGAATGTATGTGTTACTTCCAGTAATTCATTTAGTGTTACCTTTCCAGACGAAGCACATACTACTGATGAACACTAATAGCCTTGAAAATTTCACTTCAGAGGGCATCAGAATATATTGTTATCTGCGCAGAAGTTGCATCTCTTTAAGAAGAAGAATTCTTGTTATATTAGTATATAAGTCAGTCTTGAATTCCTCCAGTTACATCAGTTATTAGATGGTGTTGCAAATACTTCTCTTTGCAAAATCCTTGACAACATCCTTTCCTTATAACTAATTAAAATTAATTCACATAAACCAGTTGAGGAAGTGATGAACTAATTTATCACATCTACTCAAGAATTTTGGGGATAATTTTACTTTAGTATGGTAATGATGGATTAAACTGTGATAATTCAAAGAGCCACAGTAGTTTTAGCAATATACCTTAGTCGTATGATCATTTCATTATTGAAACTACTTAGTGACTGGCTTATTTCTTGTCAAATTGTGAGCATCCAGGGGATATAAGGAGGGATATTTTTGTTCTAGCCAGAACTATATTTTGATAACGGAAATCAGGCTGTCCCCTGCAAAATGAAGCATTACAAATTTAAGGAAACATGAAGATTATATTCAAAGTGGATATCAAAATATATGTCAGTGAGAACTGAGGAGGAGGTTATCAGTGTTTATCTTGCCTTGTGACGCTCCCTCCCTCTTTCTAACCGTATACATGAAAAGTAAAAAAAAAAAAAAACAAACACATTTTTATCCACTGGAAGGAAGACTGGCAGCTCTAGGTGAAGCACATCTGCTGGTACAAATCTGGCTTCCATGATTCAAGGTGATTGAAAGATCTGGTCACAAAAAAAAAAAATCAGAAGTCAGATCCTTTGTATGTGGTTCCAGTACAGAAAATGAGTATATTAGGATGTTTAGAATTCTGACTTGCATCGGTCTACATACTTGATTTTGTGAGTAAACTAGAAAGACTCTCACAACAGTAATCTATATGGTACAACAGACACATCTGTAAATTAAACTATAACTCTTGTTTCTGATATGATTCTGGAATATTTTAAGTCCCTCCCAATATACATTCAAGAGCAACTAACTCTCATCTCCCCTCATATCCTTAAGCCTCTAGTGGTCTTATACCCTTTCCCCAAACAATCATAAGGTTTTCTGTCATCACAATTTGTTTGAATCCAGCCTGAACAAATATAGTTTACAGTTATGTATAATCTGTTGAATTTCTTGTCAAAGGAGAGTTTCAAATTAAAAACAAAAAAAGATAATACAGATGCATCCACTGAAGTGTTGTCTCAGACTTTCAAGCCACCAGTGCAACACATCTTCAACAACAACAAAAAATCAGAAGGTTGAAGTAATCTATAAAGGAAGCTGAGCATATCTGTTATCTGTGTTAATTATTTAACATACAAGTATGTATTTGTTATAGATTAAATTTAGGTTTTCAAAATTTCAGTGTTTTTTTTTTTTTTTAATTATTGCTGGTCAGTCTCATTTCCTTTATAACTTTTTTACATGGACATTATTTCCTTTATTTTTCCAAATGAGTTTGCACTTTTTTTGGTAGCCAAATTTCAGCCATACACATGCTATTGCTGTTAAAATCAACACAAGCAGTTTCCTCAGGATCGTTCATGCACTCTTGCATGATTTTATCCTTTAAAGATTTGTGAACATTCGATTTACCAGTTCTGTCTGATGTACTAACAATAAACATGCATGCGGTAATGCTATATCACTGTACTGTGCGTCTGATTTTGTAGTTATCGTAGTAAGATGTTCCATGGTAGCCTTTTGAAATGCCTGTTTTCTTTTGCAGACTCAGTTAAATTTGCTTCTGGAGAAGCTTCACAGTACTGTAAGTACAAATACAGATGCAGATTCATTGTTTTCTCTTTCCAGTGCTTCTCACATAAATTGTCATCAATTACCTCAACCAGTTTTGTTTGACGTAGATGTCTAGTGATTAAAAAATAACGTCAGAGTTTGCAGTTATATTACACTTTTTTGAAGTGTCTTGCTGTGCAGGTGATTAATATTGAGTTAATTTTTGGGGGGGGGGGGGGGGGTGGAAAACTGAAAATTTTGTTGTCCAATAAAAGTTACACAGTCTAAGTAAGAAATATCGTATTCTGCTTAAATCTATCCAGGCTGCAATCTCCTTTTCGGTTAGTTTCACTTTCATCTTTTTACTGCTTATCGTTGATGACTAATCTGCAGAGGATTTAGAGTTGTATTTAAAAGTAAAATGGGCAATATGTTAATAACTTCTGTTTTCGTAAGGGGATTGTGGTCACTGTAACCAATGATTGGAAATGTATCATTAATGCAGAGCTGCCTTTGGCAGGCCCTTTCTGACTCCAAGGGGAGAAATTTGTACAGAGCACTCAAAAATATTCAAACCAGGGAGTAGGATTATGTTTTCTTAGTCCCAGTTTTGTTTTAGTATATAGGATACGATTTCACTAGCTGCCTGTTAACAGGAAAAACTGAGTAACTAGGTGGTAATTGCCGTAGAGAGGGAACATGAAATAATCAGAGAAAGCAGTAGTTGAAATTGTAAAGAAAGTATACATGATGAGAAGAGAAGAGCAGATTGCAGCAACATGGAGGAAAGGAAAGTGAAGCCATGAGGCAAAGGAAACTGAAAAAAATAAGGGGTAGAAGAAAGGTCAAGCTCAACTGGCGTGATTCCAGCGTCAGGAGGCTGGAAGGACATCATCCTCTATGATGTGAATTCTGGAGGACTGAGGCATTTAGCTGATACGGCTGTGAAGACAATGAGTGTAGGAGAAACTAGAGTGATACATCGTAATTAGATTATTTTAATTTTAAGAAGAGGAGTTGAGTGAAAACTCAAAAGTTGAGCTTCTGATTAATAGCTTGAGCATTGAGATCAGTTATGTCAAGACAATGTCAGCATGCAGACTGGCTATAACAAGAAAAATAATGTCAAATTTTCTCTTTTTAGAAATGTATTACTTTTTTCTTTACTTGGGTAATTCTTAAATGAATCACTATTATTTCAGGAAATTTAAAAAATGCTTAACTTGCTCTTTTGACAATAGGGGTCTAGCTTTATTCGCTGTATCAAACCCAATTTAAAGATGACAAGTCACCATTTTGAAGGGGGACAGATCCTGTCTCAGCTTCAATGTTCAGGTAGTGTATGCATCTGGTGTTTTCTCGTTTATTATTTTGGGCGTTGTAGATTGACTTGAGTTTGAAATATGTGAAATGGAAACAGTATGTTTCTTAATTTGAACTGTTGCATTATTTGTGTCTTTCGAACACTTAATTTCCATTCTCAGTAACTGAGGCTTCCATTGTAGTCAAAAGAAATCTAGTTAATGGAGCCTAGGAAGTGATTTATCTGAACAGCCAGAGGCCTCTTATTCGCAATCGAGTGTTGTTTTATTCTCTTTCAGCTGTTTCTCAGTTGATTTTAATGAGAGTGTAGACACGTGGTACACATGTAAGCAGCCATGTATTGATACTTAAAATTAGATTTCTTAATCTGGAGCTGAATGTCTCTGTTTTGCCCACAACATTGCTAGGGCAGCAACTCAGTCCAGCGCAGCAGAATTCCTTTGAACTACTATGGCAATTGAAATGTTAGAAACTCCCTGTGCGTTTAGAGATGGTCAGTATTAGCTGAGGTGTCTCATCATTGAAACAAATCTATTTTCTTCTATTTTGTAGATACTATAACAGAGTCAAAAAAGTCCTGTTTTACTTTTTGAAAATTACTTTATACCATTGTTAGTTTGATTTGGAACTGAGCTTCCAACAGTGGCACTTTAGCGTAGTCTTTCCTATTGTTTTATGCACTACAGTGGTAATGTGATGCTACATTTTCATTATTCTTGAAATGCTAGGTGCTTTCAAATTTTATAGCTTTATTTTAGAGGGCAAATATTAGCAGTGTTGTTTTTTTTACCCCACTGTGCAGCAGCCAGAATGGCTTGCTCAGTTGTTAGAATGCTTGCTGGTATTGTGTCATGTCGTTCTTCATAGGGTGTTTATTCAGCAAAGTACTTGGATATTTATTTTTCTCCTTCTTTATATTTTTCCCTTTAAGTATTTTTGTCCTTTTGGTAATTTGTACTTAATTTTTTCTCTTTTTGAAATCAAGAGACGTTCCCAGGTTCTGCAGCTGGTGTTTCGGCAAGCCACCATGGATTTATCATGTCGCGTTATAATCACAAATGCCTAACAACTTTTCAGCAATTAGGATTCCATTAACATTATTAGCAGTAGGTTTCTTCAGGTTAATAACGTTTGGCATGTCAAAGAGAGGAGAAAGAAAGAAATGAACTTTTTTTATTTTCTACCGTAAATAATTGTAATATTTTATAATAATCTTACAAATTTACTTTTCTGTGTGCTCTTTGAGCAACAGTAAATGAAATTTAATCTAGTTAAAAATACTTGATATGTAATTTTAAAAAAGTAAGAATAGTGTGTTTTTTTGTGTGTGTATATATATATATATATATATAGGTATGTGAGTATATGCATATGTATATATGTATGTGAGCGTATATATGTATTTTAAGAAGGACTTAGTGGAAACAAATCTATCATTAAAAACAGATCTGCAAATAATGAAGGTTAGAGACAGCCACCATTAAATTAACAGTAAACTTAAAAACTGAGGTACAAAATCTGTTGCTGGGGCTGTGTAAAGCAACTGGCAAAACCTAGCATGGTCTGTGCTTCCTGAAGTAATCGGAACCGTTTACTGACTTTATGCTCTACTGATGCCCTAGTTATAGCCGAAATGTAGAAACAGTGTTCAGGGAATTAAAATTACGTTTTACCAGCTGATACCTAGTACTGCAAGTACACGTGCAAGTACACAAAATGTTCTAACACTGCACTTGAATTTGGCACTGCATCTGTACCACATCTCACAAATATCACTGACATGATAGAAAGGAAAGCCATGCTAGGCATGGTTTTTGCTTTCTTAAAAAAGAATTGCAGGACCTCAAGTCTGCTTAAAAGAAGAAAATATTTAGCAAAAGGGCTGGGAAGAAAATGCTATGCATGATTGGGTGTTTTCTGTCTAAATAGGGAGAAAATCGTATAGACCTCTCTTACCTGGTCGTAGCTTTTTGTGAGTGATCACATGATCAAGAAATATTAGAGGCTGGGTCTAGTCTCTGATGAATTCTTTGGATTGGTTGCTGAACAGTGTTTGTGAGGCTTATCTCATGAACTACTCGTTGTCATAAAAATAATTGCTTCGTTTGCGTTTTACTAATACCAGCTTTTGTGTGTGTGTTCCTGTGAATATAGGAATGGTGTCTGTTTTAGACTTAATGCAAGGCGGTTTCCCTTCACGAGCTTCATTTCATGAGCTATATAATATGTACAAGAAATACTTGCCTGAAAAATTGGCTCGATTGGATCCTAGGCTCTTTTGCAAGGTAAGTTAGAAATTAATACTTCTGCCGTACCATCAAAGGCAGAAAATATATTGGTATGTTTTTTGCTTTTTATGATTTTTGGAGGGAATATATAAACCGAACTTGTTTTTTTTTTTTTTCTCCTTTGTTTCAGGCACTATTTAAAGCCTTGGGATTGAATGAAAATGATTACAAATTTGGGTTAACCAAGGTGTTTTTTAGACCTGGCAAGGTAATGTCTCTCTGTCTTTTTCCATTTGGAGTTCGTGAATGTGAATCAGAGAATAACTGACATTGGAAGGGACCTCTGAAAAGCACTTGGTGAACACTTTGCTTAAAATACGACCCACTTAAATAATGTTGCTCAGAGCCTTTTGTAAATACTAATCATTTTCTGTGGAAAAAATCAATACTATCACTAGCATAACTGACTTCATAGCCTTGTTGCTAATAGTGCTATATTTCTAAAGTGGTGTTTGTTGCTCTGTATATCGTGAGTTTCCCAGACGTTGTACAAGTCACTTAAGAATACATTGAGGACTACTAAAAAGAGCAAGTCAGAGGAAGGAAATAAAACGCTTTCCACTAAAATGTATTTATAACTGAAATCTCTTTCTGTGATCATGAGCGTTGCTGCCGCTAGCGTAGAGACGTAGAGAGAGAGAGAGAGAGAGAGAGAGAGAGAGAGGTGTTGTGACTGGAAAGGAAACTTCATCATAGGTAGCGAACAGTGTCTCTATGGTCATAATTATGCATAAGTAGAAATGTAGGATTTTCAGAAAAGTTTGCCTTTAGTTGGACTCTTATATGAAGATTTAAAAATTGAGCAATGTTTTCAGGGCTTTTATTTTTCCCCGAATGCAGAATTTGAGGTGTCTTAAAATTATGGAAGTTCAGAGCAATTATTTGGGAAGTAGAGTACCAAATCATTCCTTAAAATCTTGTCAATAAATTTTTATTTTTATTGATGAATAAATGGTTGGATTATTCAAAATGTTAAGTGTGTCACATCAATTAAAAACAAGCCAATCATTCCTGTTATCATCAAAGAACATACTAAAGTTATACCAGACACATACCTTGTTTGAAGTAATCGAGTAGCTATAATGGTACAGTTCCATTCCCTCTTTACATTACAAACATTTTACTCAACTTGCTCTTAAATGATGTCTAACACTTTCTCTTCTCATCTGTAAAACTGATTTTGTATTTAGTTTGCAGAGTTTGATCAGATAATGAAGTCAGATCCGGATCATTTAGCAGAGCTAGTTAAACGAGTCAATCACTGGCTTATCTGCAGTCGCTGGAAAAAAGTTCAGTGGTGTTCTCTCTCAGTGATTAAATGTATGTATTTTATATTTTAATAAACAAAAATTTTTGCTAGCGATATAGCAAAGCAATTATCGTCATCTTGAAATGTGGTTCTGGTCATATATAACAGATGCTTTACATGGTAAAGTCTGAATAGTTCCTTTCAAGACTGGTGAAATTTCTCATAGTTTGTGTTAGATAAACATAGGAGGACTAAAAGCAGAGGTTTTTGAAAGTGGTGATGTGGTGGACTGTATCTCCCAACCTCCTGTGTCCAGGCTGCTTAGCCGCTTCCTGAAGCCCTGGTAAACACTTGCGCAGAAATAGCTAGTGATTAAAAGTCTTGGGGAGGCACCTCAACATAAGCTGGAAAGAGCGGCAGTTTCAACTTTGAGCTGACAGTATAGAGTCATTTAGCTGAGCTTCAGAGAATTGCCTGCACGGAGATTGTTAACGTCTGTGCAGTAACAGCACGTTCAGAAGCACTGACGTGAATCATGGGGCAAATGTCTCCGTTCCAGGAGTTATTGTTGATCAGCAAGGAAGTGCCAGTCACTACTGACATGCACTTTCTAAGTGCCCAGTCTGCTCTGCTCACTCTGCAGAGAGTAGGAGCAAGGCAGTGTGGAATAGTTTGGTCCTGGCAGGATGGTTCGTTAACAATGTCCGTATGCCCGACTCAGGACTGTGAATTCTGTTGTCTACTGCGACTCAAGCGTTGTGGTTCCCTTGTGGACGTAGCTCCCAAGCACATATAGTCTACGTACGGGCTGGAGCCACAAGTGTTTGAGTAACAGAGGGAATATAGGAGTTGTGTTAAATTGTTTAAACCATTGAGACTTGGTCAATCTTTTGTGTGTTTACAGTGAAAAACAAGATAAAATATCGAGCCAGTGCCTGCATTAAAATACAGAAGACTATTCGAATGTGGCTTTGCAAGAGAAAGCACAAACCACGGTAAGAGATATGTCCACATGTAACTGAGGACTTGTTGTCCTTTACTTTACTCTGTAGGCCTCCTTGCTGCCACCTCTGTGCGATAACTGTGTGTTCTCTCTCTCTCTCTCTTTTCCTCTTGAAGTTAAGTATCTCCATTAGCTTTAATCTGATTGCATGGAATACTGATGGAAAAAACTTTGGCCATTAAGCACTCCTGACGTTATTATTCTTTGATAGAGACCCAACTGTCTTTTTGTTCTTCGTTCCTGGGGTTCTTACAAAATGTTTTCTTTCATATCCTTTGGTAGTTACATTTCATTTTGTATCTTGGTGTTTTTGATCGTTTCCCTGAGCGTTTATGCTGTTCTTCCGCGCTCATCTTTAATAATATGATTTAACTTCTACTTTCTGAATGTTGTTTTTCCTGAATTCCTGTTCAGTGATTTCTTTCTTCCTACCTAGACTGTCTCTGTAGAGTTATAATTTGGCGTTCAGTATTGTTTCTTTAAGAAGCTGCAAGCTTTCCTGGACTCTTTCCTTTTTTTCCCCTTGCGGGATCTAGTGACCCCGTTGTAAAAACCATGATTGTAAAATAATCTGAAGATACAATAAACTATCTTCCATTCACAGTATTGATGGTTTGGTAAAGGTGCGTACACTGAAAAAGAGACTTGATAAGTTTAACGAAGTAGTAAGTGCTCTGAAGGAGGGGAAGGCAGAGACAAGCAAGCAGATCAAGGAGCTGGAGTATTCTATTGATGCTTCAATGACCAAAATTAAGGTATGATATTAACCAGAGAAATGGCTTCTTATTACTGAAATCTTTTAAAACTTAATCTCAAATAGAAGGGCAATGTTATTTGCTGCTTTTTTTTTCTTTTTTTTTTTTTAAATAAAAGTACTCTGGACAAAGATTTTATATTTAAATGTCTTGCTATGGACACTTACGTCAGAGGTCTCATTTTTCAGAGGCTCTGGGCACTACTAAATCCTACTTAAAGTTATTTGTGAATGTAGCTGAAATGCATCCTGAAATTGGGTGTATACCTCTTCATCTGTGTTTCAAAATTGGCATTGGAGAATCTAAAACAAAAATACGTGGTGATATTGTGAGGCTGATGATGTTAATAATTTGCTCGTTGCCTTTATTCTTAGGGTAATGCGTATTAGCAGTATTTTAAATTAATCAGGGCTGAACCTTGCAAACATTTTTCACACAGGGGTGGGATTCCTATTCTCGTTATGTGGGGTTTTTTCAGACCTGTTAGTAAAGAGAGTTCAGCTTGCTGTATTTGCTTTGAGGTCCATAGTTCTTGGTCCCTTACCACAAGAGCACAGAGGCAAAATGAAAGCATACTGAAATCCGTTAATGTTAGAAGAATTTTAATGTGTTGAGTTTTGTGTTTTAGGCCATGTTATAGCCTTCTCTAGTGTACCGTATGCAGATTTTGCTATTTAAAATCTCTTGTTGAAAAGATGATAAAGGTAACAGTACTAATACGATAATGTGCTGGATTTAACCTGTCAATTTATAGTTTCCTTTTCCAATAGAAATAAGGCAAGTAAGTTGACTGTTAGTATGAGATGCCCTCAGAAAAGTTCATCAAACACCCCATGTCGCACTTGTTTATTGTCTTTTTTTCCTATGTATGCCTCAACACAAAGAATAAAGGAAAATAGAGAAAATAAAATTAAGCTGTAGCTATCAGTGAGATCTGGAAATATGTATGGCAAAAGTTATTGCTTTATTAAGTATTTTCATCATGTTATTTGCCACTCATCTCATTGCTTAAATATTTTCTGTTAGTCACAGTGTTGTCCAATATTTTTACCATGGGTGCTAGCATAATAAGAGATCTAAAACTATTCTGTGCTTCCGTATATAAGGTGGAACTGTTAAGTCACCAGTACAGAAGCTAAGGACATGACATAGAATGCACATAGGAAGCTCCTAGTTCTCAGGATGGTAAGGATTAATTTCTGATGCTTAAAAATGGCAGGTTTCAAAAGTGAAGGCAGGTTTTAGAGAGAAGTCCTGTCCAGTGTCAGTGATAAAAAGACTGATGATAAGATTGCTTTCTGTGGTTTTAAATGAAAGAAGTAATATATCTGCCGGATTTTTGAAAGGAAGGGAAGGACTTGCTTAAGGTTCCCGTTTCCCCCATCCCTCATGTATATATTATAGTTAGTGTTTAGTGTTTTCATAGCACTTCATATAATTTTCAAAGATGAAGTAGAAACTCAAGGGAATATTATCCCTCGTTATTATTTCATTTTGCAGACCACTATAATGACAAGAGAACAGATACAGAAAGAATACGATGCTCTAGTTAGAAGCTCTGAGCAACTTCTGAGCGCACTACAGAAAAAGAAACAGCAAGAGGAAGAAGCAGAGAGGCTGCGACGCATCCAGGAGGAAATGGAAAAAGAAAGAAAGAGACGTGAAGCGGAGGAGCAACGCCGAAGGAAAGAAGAAGAGGAAAGACGTTTGTGAGTGTTGAATAAGTTGCTGCTTTTGGAATGAGAAGCAGATAGGAAAGGCACTTTAATCAGCTTGTGTTCAATGTTCCTGCTCCTGAAGAGAGTAACACAGATTGCGCTCCCAGTGTGCTATGCGCTGTGTAGAAACCCTTTTTTCCTAAGAGTTTATATTGTAGGTATAGTCAGAAGAGGGTATAGAAGAGATGATATGAAGCAACTGGGAATACAGTCAGACTTGGAAAGTTTCTTGACTTTACACATAGTGTCTCGTCATCACGACTGTACTGACTTCCGAATTACTATTTAGTTTTATGGAAATGCTTTCATATTTCTTGTTCACCTGTATCATAATAAGATTATTATCAAAAGTTTTTTTCATCTTCCCCCTTCCCCTCTGCTTTTGTAATAGGAAATCTGAGATGGAGGCAAAGAGAAAACAGGAAGAGGAAGAGAGGAAGAAGAGGGAAGAGGAAGAAAAGCGTATTCAGGTAATGTTTCAACTGTGCTTTTCAAAAAAATCTTTTCCACAACTTATGTTACATTCTCCACCTGAAATTACTGAGTCTAATAACTTCATTTTGTAAATGGGTCTCATAATCTTACGGCAGTGTTCTATTTGGCATGTTTAATATAATCTAACTGTCCAGAAGTAGTATTACTTATTTTTTATTTAATGGTAACTACAGAAGTAGAAAAAAATGTTACGTAAATTCTGTTGTCGGGTAAGAAAGGATGTGCGTGTGAATGAGAGGCCTAAAGAAGCTTCTACTGTTGGCAGGACCTGGAGAGTTATTTGTATCAAGGATGTGTATTTTGTCTGAGACACAAGAGAGAAGGAGCCAAAAGGTAATTTAAGAGAGTATTAACATTCCTGAAAGTTCTTTTGGCGGTATTTGTTGAGTAGGAATAAACAGCAAAATTGGACGTTTCAGAAGTCACTGTTTGGCATCCTGTGGTGTTAAAGGTAAAGATAATAAAGGGATAAGTAAAAAGAAAAGTGATAGAATGATTTCATCACTAAGCATCTGGAGGACAAGAAGGTGATCCGGAGTAGATGGATTCACCAAAGGGAAATCATGCTTGACCAATCTGATAGCCTTCTCTGACGGAATGACTGGCTGGGTAGATGAGGGCAGAGCAGTGGATGGTGTCTACCTGGACTTGAGCAAGGCTTTTGACACTGTCTCCCATCACATCCTCCTAGGTAAGCTCAGGAAGTGTGGGCTAGACGAGTGGACAGTGAGGTGGCTTGAGAACTGGCTGGATGGCCGAGCTCAGAGGGTTGAGGTGAATGGCGCAGAGTCAAGTTGGAGGCCTGTAGCTAGCGGTGTCCCCCAGGGCTCAGTCCTGGGCCCAGTCTTGTTCAATATATTCATCAATGACCTGGAGGAAGGGACAGAGTGCACCCTCAGCAAGTTTGCTGATGATACCAAACTGGGGGGAGAGGCTGACACACCAGAAGACTGTGCTGCCCTTCAGAGGGACCTGGACAGGCTGGAGAGGTGGGCGGAGAGGAACCT